TTTTTTCCCTCTGAATAAATATTGTCCTAAAATGGTGTAAGGGGCCAATCTGAGCTTAGAAGTCCCAACTCTCAGCTGAAGCACAAAACAGGTTGCCTAATAGTTAGAAATTGTTTTTGTCAGGAGTAGAAGTAAGTGTCTGTGTGTGTGTGTGTGTGAGAGAGAGAGAGAGAGAGAGGGGCAGCTGTTTGATAGCTGCACACATGAGGCTTGTAATGTGACAATTAGTCATAGTGGAGTTGTATTTATTATGCAGCTTTGACCTCCTCACTTGTACTCTGCTCCCCAGTGCAATCTATTACATGGTTCAAAAGCAGATGCTGCCAGTGCTGCTTATTTAGAGCAAGATTGTGCCCTTCTTATTTACATTGTTGTACCTCATTATGGACTACAGAGAGGTTTTTACCACAAGCCCTGAGTAAAGGTGTCAATATGTAGGTACGTTGCCCTAGGAGCAGAACCACAACCTGCCTTCTGGTTCCCTTCTCAGTCTGGGGAGGAAAGCAATCCCTAGCACAGATCACTTTCCTGCCTGTGCCGGCTCAGCTGTACATGCCAGTGCTTTGGGAAAAGGGTCAGTGTGTCCTGGTGTGCCTAGGGCAGCCCTTGCTGGAAATGCCAAGGTCAAGGCAGGCTGCAAAAGGGAGAGCAGATAGTCCCAAGACTGACTGGGTAACACTGAACTGTTAAACTCCCCAACCAGTCCCAAACTGTACTTCTGATCCCCCACACTGGTTATCAAAAAGCAAAAAAGAAATCACACAGCCCCCTTTATTGCATTCCAGTTCTCTGGCTCCCAATCAGCACTTAGGTCCAGTACAGTGAGAAGTTATTTAAAAAACGCTGCTCATATATACAAAATGTTCTTCTGACCCCAAAGGGTCAGCCACGTCATCAGATCCGTATAGGTTTGCAACTTACCCAAAATACCACACTGCCAGCCAATCCTTTAGTGCCTAAAACTAAAGGTTTATAATAAAGAAAAAAGAAAGAACAAGAAGAGAGATGTTAAATGGTAAAACAGTCACATACATACAAAGATTTCAAAATCCATCAAGTTCCTAGCAGTACTGGTGAATTTGCTGGCTTGAACACATCCACAGTTTGGATGGGTCATTCAGTCCTTTGTTCAGAGCTTCATTTGTAGAAAGGTTACTCCAGAGGTAAGAAGCAGGAATGGAGAAGATGCAGCTTCCTTTTATAGTCTTTTACCATGCAGCTTGATTTCCTTTGTTCCAAACACAAGCAGCCCAGCACATGGCCTGGAAGCCTTAGACCGTTCTGTCCATAGGCATGCCCCTGCATGCCTTACTGAGTAATAAGTTGTATCCCTTGCCTTCTCAATGGGTCAATTGTATAGCTGATGTAAGGGTAGGCAGTGCTAATGCCAATCTATCTGGGGGTGTCACCCAGATGCACAGCACAAACAGACATACCATACATATAACTTACAATACAAAGATGATACAAACACACAAACGAGATTATTATACCTGACAAATTATAACATTTTTGCAGATACCTTACGCGGCATATCTGGCATAACTCACTGCAGTTTTACAACATTGGTATTCATAATATCCTAAAGTGCCCCCCAAATTCCATATAACATCGCAGGTAGAGTCAAGACTTTGCTCATGCCCTGCCCCTGTTGTTCACTTTTTGCCTGTATGCATGGGAAGGGGACTAGCAGCCAGGCAGAAGCTGGTCTCCACCCTGCACAGGGGAAGTAGATATCTTATTCCCCATGATTCTCTGTGAGCAGACCCTTTGGAACCAGAACTGGTTGCAAATTTTCCAATGGAAACAGAACCTCATACTGCAGCTTTCAGGGCTCCCAGGGTCTGCTGTTCCAGGGCAGCCTTCCTATACAGACTACCCTGGGTCGGGGATAACAAGGCTTCCAGTTCCCTGAGCCAGCTGGTTCCCTGTCCAGCCACCACTGGGGTCTGGAGAGCATAATTAGTTTAGGAAACACCATGGGTGGGATCCACAAAAGCACTTAGGGAAGCACCTAAGTCCCTTTGGTTCCATTGTGATCCACGAAACTCACGCTGAACTGTGTAGGTGTCTAAACTCACTTGGCACTTAACTTTTTTTTTCCTGGTTAAAAGTTCCCCCAGCACATACGTTTCTGCCTCCCGGCATTCACACTGCTGCCTCCCTCTAGGTGTCCGGATGCCTATTTCCTGCCTAAGGCCCAGAGCGATTCACAAACCAGGGGAAAACAGGCATTCAGCCACGTAAGCCATGTGCAGGGCCCAGTACGGTAGTTGCCCTATTAGCACATCTACTAGATTGGGTCCCATTCAAAATCCAGCCATAGGAGGTGATGCCCTCCTTATAAAGTTATGGGAGACCTAGATTGAATTCCCCCCTCCCTAGCAGAGGAGGAGACAGAATTTGAATAGGGGTCTCCCATACCTCTCAGGAGAGTGTTCTAACCACTGGGTTATGGAATATGCAGTTGTGCAGTTCGTTCAGTCTCTCCTGTTAAAGCTGTTCCACTGTGGATAAATACTTAAAGAACTGTTAGGCCAGAGAGCAGGAGAGGATTGGAATGACTGTAGTCCAGTGGTTAGGGAACCCACCTGTGAGTCAGGAGACTCAGGGTCCACTCCCCCTGCTCCAATCACTCTTTCATTAGTTATCTACAGTGCAACAGCTTCAGTAGAAGAGAGTGAGGGAGAATATTCCATAGTTTAGGGGTTAGAGCACTCTCTGAAGGGTGGAAGGCCCCTTTGTCAGAGAAGGGGGAATTGAACTCTGGTCTCTCACAGCCCAGGTGATTGCTCTAACCACTGGGCTAAAAGTCATAAGTTGGGCACCAGCTCCTTTGTGTGGAGTGAAACAGGCGCTCAACTCATTCCAGCAAGAAACTCCTTAGAGGCCTAAGCCACCTGACTCCAGGTACCGGATACGGATTTGTGGCTCGCCAGCAGAACTGGATGGCCTTCCTG